TGTTTGATGTCTATGCAGGCAGGTTTTGAACTCTTCAGGAAATTTTAAGTACTGGCCAAGGGCGGTGGCTCACGCCTGTAATCCCAGCACTTTGGGAGGCTGAAGTGGGTGGATCACCTGAGGTCAGAAGTTCAAGACCAGCCTGGCCAACATGGCAAAAACCCCGTCTCTACTAAAAAATACAAAAATTAGCCAGGTGTGGTGGTGGGCGCCTGTTATCCCAGCTACTCAAGAGGCTGAGGCAGGGAGAATTGCTTAAACCCGGGAGATGGAAATTGCAGTGAGCCGAGATCATGTCACTGCACTCCAGCCTGGGCGACACAGCGAGACTCTCTCGGGGAGAAAAAAAAAAAAAAGAAATTTAAATACTAATACAGTTGCTTCTAGAATAAAATCTTTTGCTTATGGTTCCATTCATAAGGATTATAAACTCCTTGAGAATAGGAGTTCTTTCTGTTTGGAAAAATGTAAACTACATAATTTTAATACAGTATTATGGGTCAGGCAGTTCAGAGCCCTAATCAATTAAAGTAAGCATTTAATTATTCATTAAATGTTTATTAAGCTTCTGTAAGTGCCAGGCAGTATACTGGAGCTATAAGGATGGATTAGAAGTTTATATCCCCAGGAAATCTAACTTTCTGTGTAGGTAAACTAGAGTTTACTCTGGACCCAAGTAAGTTTTTGTGCTTATTTTTTTCATTAAGCAATTTTACTATAATTTTATTCACTTGAATTCACCCCCCCCCATGAAAAATGGGAGGGAAAAAAGGTTGAAAACAATTTTTTCTATTCATCCTCTTTTGAATGCTTGAATTCAAAAGCATACCTTAAAGAATAGCCATACCTTAGAACATACCTTAAAGAATAGCCACCTGGTTTCTTCTTGAATACTGCCTCCAAAATCAGTCTATTTCATTTTCAGTTAATTATTAGGAAATGCTTATATATATATATATTATTTTTATTTTTATTTATTTTTTTTGGAGACAGAGTCTCACTCTGTGACTCAGACTGGAGTGCAGTGGTATGGTCTTGGCTCACTGCAACCTCCGCCTCCCAGGTTCAAGCTATTCTCTTTCCTTAGGCTCCTGAGTAGCTGGGATTATAGGTGCCTGCCACCACACCTGGCTACTTTTTTGTATTTTTAGTACAAATGGGGCCTCACCATGTTGGTCAGGCTAGTCTTGAACTCCTACCCTCAAGTGATCTGCCCACCTCAGCTTCCCAAAGTGCTAGGATTGCAGGTGTGAGCCACCACGCTCAGCTTCTTCCTTGTATTTATCCAAAATCAAAACTTTCATCTCTGGAATCATATATAGTAGTTTATACCATTCTTTCCTATAATAAACCTTGAGATATTCTATGATAGTTAGGAAGTTATCCCCAATCTTCTTATCTCTAATCCCTTATAAAAACAGAGTTTCAAGCTGCCTCCCTGTTTAATCACTTTCCTTTTAAAGTCTATTTGCCAGTGTATCTTAAAGTGCAATACCCCAAACTGTACACAAGGATGGTTGAAACAATGTAAAGTTGTACAGTAAAGTGGAATTGCTTGAGTTCATAGAATGTTAAGGAAATAATGTTTCCTGGAGTGGGTATATTGTAATTTGATTTCAAAGCATAGGTACAATATGAAAAAAAAGAGAAAACATGAGGAGTGTTTGAATAAATGCTTAGAAATAGAGCAAAAGGAAGATAAAAGCAGCGAATGAAACTACAGAATGTATTGAAACTCTCAGATTAAGTAGAGTAGGTTAGGATGATTGGGTGGATTGCAGTCCTTAGATGTGTGGATTTGGATTAAACGTGTATTTCAAAGAGGAAGTTTTAGTGGGATTATGTGCCATAGCAGGAAGAAACATTAACAGAGAAATGTTCAAATTTGGCAGGACTACTAGGAAGAGTTTGCTATTATGCAGCAAAATGAAGTAAAAAGGATGCAATTAAAAAGGTCACATAAGCAAGAAGATACAGGATTTGGCAGGGGAATTTTGGTGAAGTATGCAGCACAAAACTCATCCTTTGTGTTGGAAAACAAGATCCTTGTCAAATTGGTAGAAGTAGTTATGAAAAGGCCTGGCACAGTGGCTCACACCTGTAATCCCAGCACTTTGGGAGACTGAGGCGGGTGGATCACCTGAGGTCGGGAGTTTGAGACCAGCCTGACCAACGTGGAGAAACTCCATCTCTCTACTAAAAATACAAAATTAGCCGGGTGTGGTGGCGCATGCCTGTAATCCCAGCTACTCGAGAGGCTGAGGCAGGAGAATCGCTTGAACCCGGGAGGCGGAGGTTGCGGTGAGCTGAGATCGTGCCATTGCACTCCAGCCTGGGCAACGAGAGCGAAACTCCGTCTCAAAAAAAAAATAAATAATAATAAGAAGAAGAATAGCTAACATACGTATAAGGCCTAATTATGTGGAAGATGTCATTCTGTTTCCCAGGTATTAACATAGTTAATCTTCGTAACAGTCATATAAGTTAGGTACTTTTATTATCGCCATTGTATGGATGAGAAAATGGACGTACAGAGAAGTTAAATAATTTGCTGAATGTCACATAGCTAGTAAGATGGCAGAGCTGAGATCTTAATTCAGATAGTCTGGCTCCAAATCTGTCCTCTTAATCACCATATTTCACTGTGCTATACTGTGATGATTGATTTCAGCCTACTTTCTTTTACCTCTCATAAATAACTAATCCGTGCCCTTCTTTTCTTGCATGTGCCACATTTCCTACTCCCCTCAAGGAGCCAATGCCTTCCTGACCTTTTCTTCTTCCCTACTATTAAAACTTACTCTGTGGAAAGACGCTAATAAGCTCATTCATTCACACCAAGGTATAAATGACTCATATGGCTTAATATAAAATAATACTTCTATAGGGCTGACTTTTTTTACGGGGGGTGGGGAATGTTAAGGGGCTATAAAAACTTAACCCAAAACCCCGTTGAAAAACTTAACCCAAAACCCCGTTGAAACTTAAACTGTATATAGGCATGGGAGAATGAGTAAGTTGGGTGATGGCCATCTGTGCTCTTCCAATCGTACCATTGTTTACCTGGCCTAGGGCTTGTGTGAATCCTCATAGAAATGAAGTAGGAACGTAAAAGTGGGGATTAAAAGAATTAAGAGATCTTTTACTATATTAATAATATATCTGTATTGTATTGAGTCAATTATTTTAGGAATACCTAATTTTTATTAGGTGGGGGAGTTCTGATAGAACCCCAAGAGACACAGACCCCCAGGAGAAAGCTTTAATTTGGCCACAGTCATAGATGAAAAGAGTTTCTAGGGTTTAAGTATTTATGTGTTTACATCTGAGTCAAAGTAGTGTCAAAGATTTTGTTCCTTTTTTTCCTGCAGAAATAAAGCTCTCTCAGATGGGTCTATGATTTATCTGCTCTAGGAATCTTATAGTCTAGGAATGTTACCCTAGAGTTATTCTTGATACCCTTCTTTTTCTTATTTCACCTCAGTTCGTCATCAGGGCCCTTCATTTCTTGCTTTATTAGGTTTCTCATATATTTCAGTCTAGTTCAATTCAGTAAATACTTACTTGCTGAGTACCTGCTTAATGGCAGATACTGTGCTCTGGGCATGTAAGTATTCCTATCTCAATTTCTCATCTGGAAGAGAATATAACATGATACAAAGCAGTTATAGACATGTTTAAATACAAAAGGTAGTATACAAGGGAGAATTACACTGCCAGAGAAGGTCAGAAAAACTTGCAAAGGAGATGGGTCTTGAATGGGTTTTCAAGGATTAATAAGAGTTCATCAGAATAATGCCAGGGAAGCACAATATTGTAGGCAGAGGGCAAAGCAATTGCACAGACATGGAAGCACAGTGTGGGCTGGTAGCTGTTATACAAGTGGTATTCCTATAAAATATCTGCGGTTTGAGCCAAGGAGTGTGGTAAAAGATCTGTTTTGTTTATTTTCATTGTCAGGATCTCATATGCCTAGAGCATCAACTTGTTTATTTTTGTGTATGTCATTATTTAAGACCTAGTTTTTTTTTTTTTTTTTTTTGGTACACCACTAAAGCCTTACCTGTGTGCCACTCATTGAGACTTCGGTCACTGTATTTTGACACCTAAGTGTATGTATGCAGTATGTCTCCTCAGTCCTCAATCCTCAAGACTTCATGGTAACGGTTTTTATACTGGTCTCTAAGGTTGGTAGAAGGAGGAGTGGCAACTTTCACTTTTATATACATGCGCATATAAGTTTTATAATCAGATTTGAAAATAATTCTGAATATCTATTGTAGTTAAAGGGCTAATATGAAAATAGCAGTAGTACTTTGTTAGTCACAGTAATATAAATTACTATGCCAAATCAGTTCAGCAAATGAGTTTTTCTGCTCTTTGTACATGCAGCAGTATATTATGAAAATAGCTGGCCGGGTGCAGTGGCTCACGCCTGTAATCCCAACACTTTGAGAGGCCGAGGTGGGATCACAAGGTCAAGAGATCAAGACCATCCTTGCTAACACGATGAAACCCCGTCTCTACTAAAAATATTTTTTAAAAAAATTAGTCGGTCATGGTGGTGGGCGCCTGTAGTCCCAGCTACTCAGGAGGTTGAAGCAGGAGAATGGCATGAACCTGGGAGGTGGAGCTTGCAGTGAGCCAAGATCGCGCCACCGCACTCCAGCCTGGGAGACAGAGCGAGACTCCATCTCAAAAAAAAAAAAAAAAAGAAAGAAAGAAAATAGCATACAATGGAAGAAAACAGGAAGAGGATACCTCCTTTCCATATCTGAGAGAAAAAATAGTTTAAAATTATACTCAGAATTTCTTGTCGTAACTGGCTCTCCAGGAGAGAAAAATCATAGACAAATGTTTAATTTCTACTCATCATAAAATCTGAAAACAAAATGAAAAGCTATAAAATGAATATAATGCTTTAAAATTAAGTTATATGGAAAATATTATTGAAGCACACTGATTTTTATGCTAATTTATGTATGCCTTTTTTTTTTAAGGATGCTGGGCAGTTTTATGCTAAATATAAAGAAACAAGATTGAAGGAAAAGGAAGATGCACTGACTAGAACTGAACTTGAAACACTTCAAAGTGAGTTTTAAACATTAGTATTTTAACAATATCATATAAAATTAATGATTTAAATGTGAATTATCTTTTAAATTCAGCAGTAATTAAATTTTCTGGTTTTCTTTTTTTTTTTTTCCCACTCCCTAGTGGAGGCACTTGTACTTAATGTGTTTGACATGGAACATACTACATTATAGCATTACTTTACCACCCAAAGTTTGGTATCAGAAGGAAGGATAAAATCAGCTTGAGTCATGTAACTCCTCAAATCCAGGGGCATCCAAAGTCTGCAAAGCCCTAAAATACTTCAGTATTGTAATTACAATTGATATTTAGTGCTAGTTTAACCGGTTAATCACCCAACTTGCTGTGTAACAGTTGTAGTTAGGAAACCTGAAAATACCAATGATTTTTGTTTTGAAAGGTTTTGTTTCATTTGCAGTATTGTTATATAGTGTGAACAACTTTGTATAGATTATCAGTATGTTGAAAAGAAATCTTCCATTGAACACAAAGACAGTTCTTGCTGATTTTAGGAAAAGTTGAATATATTATTTAAAAAGGTGTTTTCTCAGCTCCAGTCCTTTTGTCTATTTTTGCCTTCTCTACCTCTTGGCTCCCACACATATATGCTCTGTGTCTTTGCATTTCTTTATTTTTATTCCAAGCACTTAATACTACTTTAATTTATATGTTAGTTTTGTTTACCATCTGATTTCCACCCCACCCCCCACCCCCAGTAGAATGTAAGCTCCGTAAGGATAAGGTCTTTATCTGTTTTGTTCACTGTTATGTCCCAGGTTCTAGGGGTTTGGGTGTGGTCATTTTAGGGGGTCATTTTTCAGTCTGTCACAATCCTTCAGGTGTCTGGACAGCTTTAGAACAGAGACCGTTCATCTTTGTGTCTGCAACATCAAGCAGGGTCCTGGCACATAATAAATGTTCGGTAAATGGATGGATGTATGAATTCATGTAATACCATGAATATTAATGAGCATCCACTGAGCACCTAGCCGTATAAAACACCATCTCGAGAAGCACATTATTTAATTCAAAAAGTTTCAATACTTACAAATACAAAGTAATATTCACATCAACTATATAATTGTTTAAAGTAGACTTCTGTTAAGAAGAAGGAGTTAGAATGATAGAGGATTATTACATACCAAGATTGACATGTGTGTTAAGAAGTAGGAGTGTGCAAGTGAAACTCTGTCATTTTTATGTAATTGTTATTTTAGGAAAAATTGGTACATAACAATTGCTAAGCCTTTTCAGACTAATCACAAGAAGAAGAAAAATTACAATTGTAAGAAAAGAGAAGACTATCGGCCAGGCGCCATCGCTCACGCCTGTAATCTCAGCACTTTGGGAGGCCGAGGCAGGCAGATCACCTGAGGTCAGGAGTTTGAGACGAGCCTGGCCAACGTGGCAAAACTCCGTCTCTACTAAAAATACAAAAATTAGCCATGTGTGGTGGTGGACACCTATAATCCCATCTAATCGGGAGGTCGAGGCAGTAGAATCACTTGAACCTGGGAGGTGGAGATTGCAGTGAGCCGAGATTACGCCATTGCACTCCAGCCTGGGTGACAAGGGTGAAACTCCATCTCAAAAAAAGAAAAAAGAAAAGAGAAGAATATAAAATTAATCCAAAATTTACCTAGTGGCAACATAAATACACTACATTTCATTGCTCTCATAGACACAGCTTATCATTTCTATGTAATTTTTTGTTAAAAAACTTAATTGTTGTAATTTTGGTAGATGTGTTAGAATTCTTTAATAGTAACAAGACTAAGTATATACACTACCCTTTCTGAAATTAGAGGTTAAACATGAAGTGTTTATCACTATACAAAAGCTCATTTTGGAGTTAACTATTTTTCCAAAATTGTTCAATGACTTTTGTTCTGCTTAAGAGTTTTATATAATTCTCAAACATATTTAATAGTTTCTTCTTGGCTGGGCACAGTGGCTCATACCTGTAATCCCAGCATTTTGGGAAGCCAGGATGGGCGGATCACTGGAGGTCAGGAGTTCGAGACCAGCCTGGACAACATGGTGAAACCCCATCTCTACTAAAAATACAAAAATTAGCTGGGCATGGTGGTGGGTGCCTGTAATCCCCACTGCTCGGGAGGCTGAGGCAGGAGAATCACTTGAACCTGGGAGGCAGACGTTTCTGTACATCGAGATCATGCCACTGAGCTCCAACCTGGGTGACAGAGCAAGACTCCATCTCAAAAAAAAAATGTCTCTTTTAATTTTGTCATTGTCTGATTTTGTAAAAATCACAAGCTAAAAAATATGTAAATATCTGAAAGTGAAAATGTGTAACAGTCTTCACTTTACACAAATGTGTAACATTTGAAAATTCATCACTAGCTTATCAGTTATTGAAACTCAGAGTGGAATAAGTGAATACCAGAAAGCATATTAAAAACAATCCTCATACTATGCTCTGAATAAGAAGACTGTTATCTTGCATGCTGCTTTTATCAGTGGTATATTTAGAAAAGGCGATGGTATCAACATTAAGAATGTTAAAGAACAGTCACATTTACTGTTAACAATGTCAGACTGTCATGTATTTTTTAATGTAGTCTCTAATGGTTACATGCAAAGAATATTTTAATTAATTTTGTTAACTTCATTACAGTATTCTGCATTGTATACTTTAGAATTAATACATAAAGGCCCCAAATCCCCCAGTGTGCATTTCATTTGCCCCATCCTTCTTAATTTTAAAGACCATCATCAGAATATCAAGTTCATAATAACATTTCCATCTACTTAATTGAGTAAATGCATCTCATGTAGATTAGCAATAGCTGTTTTATGCTGCCTGTTTTTCATGACCTAATTGCTAATCTGCCCTCATCTGCTTTACTGCTTAGATTGTGCAGTATTCTCTGAGGGCTGCACTACAACTACTTCGAGTAGGGTGCGATAGTCTTATTAAAATGGTATTTTAGATATGGGGGGGCAGTGAAAAGGGTGATTTCTTAAAAATAAATATCCTTCTGAGAAGTCTTTATGCAAAAAAATATTGATATATGTTTGGGAAATTTGGGGCACTTATTATAAACCTTTAATCAATTTTGTAGTTTAGGTTTAAATAAGTTGAATACTTACAAATATTAGACTTTTGAGGGTTAATGATTTTTTTGCACATTCTCTAATCATATGTTTCATTCTAAATTAATGAAAGTGAATTATGTGTACTAAAACAGCCCATATCATGAATGAGAAAAAGACATGTTTGACTTACTTTATAAAGAAATTGTAAAGGTCACAATTTGAATAGACAAGGAAAGGAAAGTATAGAAGTAAACTTGATTATTTCCTTGACCCCTTTCTTTGTACCTTATATGATTTTAAAACAAAACCAAAATTAATCAAAATGCTGCTGCCAAGTACTTCCTTTAAATATGGAGAAATAGTTCCCAACATTAGTTATGTTTTTCTCGTTTTGTGGTCCTTGTTGCATGTCCCAGAAAGGGATTGAAGTAGGGGTGCCTCAGGGACACCCTGTAAGATGAAGCACTCAGTGAGAAAGTGGGAGACAGAATGTGACTTTTTAGTGTGGCAGGATGAGAAAGTTTAGTCACCTTCCTTAAGACTAAAGGAAGAGTGATTTTCTAGAAAACTCAGGTTCATGAAGAAAGTAGTTGATTCGGGGGTTGGTAGGGAAGAAGAAAAAATAGATTGAAGAACAGCAGCCACAGTTTAGGTTAGAACACTTTGCCTGTGGTAACATAGAGTGCTCACGGATGGGAGCATACTCTCTGAGATAACTTATGCAAAGACATATAACCAATCACTAGCTCCAGCATATCTGAAAACATGACCTAATAGAATCTGTGTACCTTATGCCATTTTATATTATAAAACCTAAAGTCTAATAGGAGCCCTCGTTCCAAAACAGTTTATATATGGGCAAATAACATCTAAAGAATATAGTATTTTATCCTAGGTACTTTTACCTAAGGTACAGTATAATATCCTAGGATATTTGAATACCAATGAAAGTGTGAAATTTTAAAATCATACAACTCGAATATAAATTTACAATTCCCTTAATATTTCAAATCATATAAGTATATAAATACATAAGTATATATATTCAATATATAAGGGACTGATTTTGTGGAAGACAAATTTTTCCATGGACCTGGTGGCAGTGGGGGATGGTTTTGTGATGAAACTGTAGTTAGATTCTCATAAGGAGTGTGCAACTTAGATCCTATGAGAATTTAATGCCGCTGCTGGTCTGCCACGAAGCAGAGCTCAGGCAGTAATGCTTGCCCTCCTGCCGCTCACCTCCTGCTATGCGGTCTGGTTCCTAACACGTATGGACTGATACCAGTCCATGGCCCAGGGCTTGAGGACCCCTGCTGTACATGAAGTTGATAAAGTTTCCCTCTATTCCTAGTTTTCTGAGCATTTTTAGAAATCATGACGGGGTATTGAATTTTGTGAAGTGTTTTTTTCCTGCATCAATAATTGTGATTATGTGATATTTCTTTTTTGGTATATTAATACGATAGATTACATTATTGGATTTTGAATATTGAACCAACTATGCGTACTTGGAATAAACACCACGTGGACATGGTGTATAGTTCTTATTGTTGAATTCTATTTGCTACTATTTTGTTAAAGAGTTTTACATCTATATTCATGAGAGATATTGGTCTGTAATTATCATTGTCCATTTGTGCTGCTGTAACAAAATACCTGGGAAATAGCTTGAGACTGGCTCGTTTATAATGAACAGAAATTTAATTCTCACTCTTCTTGATGCTGGGGAGTCCAAGATCGGGGCATCAGTAGGTTTGGTGTCTGGCAAAGGTTTCTGTCTGTTTCCAAGATGGCACCTTGTTGCTACATCCTCCGGAGGGCACAAACGCGTGTCCTCACAGGGAACAGAAGGGGAAAAGGGGCTGAATGCTGTGTGAAGTCTCTTTTGTAAGAGTCTTAATTTTTTCAAGAGGGAAGATCTCTCATCACCTCCC